TGTTAAGTAACAATATGTATTAACTTTGTGTACAAAAAATTGATAACATGCTAAAGAAATTTCTAATAAACAAAGATTTCTTGAACAAATGGTAATACAATTAAAGATTGGTCTCAAGATGTTTTGATCTAATTGAAAAGAACCAGAAAACATTATGAGCCTAACTACTAACAAATGGATAAGGGGGGAATGTGTTCCAATCTGTCTTTATTGGATAATGTTAACCACCAAGATTAAAGACTGACTAACATATTTTTTTAATGTAAGCCCAGATATTTTATTATTATATATGCATAGAAGTCGAGACTTTGGGCATTATAGTGTATTGATTCTAGATCTGTTACTAACAGCAAGTGCTTAGCCTTATGCCTATCCCACGCATGCTTAAACACTCCTTTACTGTGTTAACCTCTATCACTTCAGCTGGAAGGCTATTCCATGCATCCACTACCCTCTCAGTAATGTAATACTTCCTGATAGTATTTTTTATTTAAACCTTTGTCCCTCTATTTTTGAGACTATGTCCTCTTGTTATGGTAGTTTTCCTTCTTTTAAATATAGACTCCACTTTAACTGTGTTGATTCCCTTTGTGTATTTAAATGCTTTTATCATATTTCCCCTGTCTCGTCTTTCCACTAGGCTATACATGATAAGATCCTTTAACCTTTCCTGGTAAGTTTTATCCTACAATCCATGAACCAGTTTAGTAGCCCTTCTTTGAACTTTCTCTAAGGTATCCATGTCCTTCTAAGGATATGGTCTCCAGTACTGTATACAGTACTCCAAGTGAGGTCTCACCAGTGTTCTGTACAATGGCATGAGCACTTCCCTCTTCCTACTGCTAATACCTCTCCCTATACAACCAAACATTCTGCTAGCTTTTCCTGCTGCTCTATTACATTGTACATTGTCATTAACAGCCAGAAACTGGAAACCAGAAAGGATAAATTAATGTATAGCTAAATGTAAAGCTTAACAAAACCTCCATTATCTTTTTCATTTTTCTCGCAGAAAAACAATGTTATTTGTCTATTTTGTAAGTTTTAATACATTATCAGTGAAGAGTAAAATAAGTTTTATCCCTTTTGCGAGACATAAAATTGCGATAATGTATATTTGTGATGTAAGTAAGAGTTATATTTTATAATAGGTTGAAAAAAAAAAAAAAAGAGAGAGTCAGGGATAGCGTCTGTCTCTATGAGCAAAAGTCTGGTGTGGGAGATGTAGTGGACTAGCCACTGCGGGATACCCACGGAGTGAAGCGTTCGAGGCCTGTACAGACAGATGTGCTTGTTAGCCTTTTATTATTTTTCTCTAGGGAAAGCATAGGGCCAGTTAAAAGTTGTTGTACATGTGCTATTTGCAGCCTCCATTGCATTTCTACTTAATTCTGATTTCTGATGTATCCTCCACTGCTACATACCCACGCCTCCAGAGAGACCTGTCTGCTCCCTTACCTGCCCACCCCTGCCTACTCCTACTCCTACTCCTACTCCTCCTCCTACTCCACCTTCTCCTCCTTCTACTTCTCTCTCCTCCACCTTCTCCTCCTCCTACTCCTCCCTCTACTTCACCTTCCACTCCTCCTATTCCTCCCTCCCACTCCACCTTCTCCTCCTCCTACTCCACCTTCTCCTCCTCCTACTCCTCCCTCCTCCTCTTATTCAATCCTACTCCTCCTATTCCTCCTTCTACTCCACCTTCTCCTCCCTCTACTCCACCTTCTCCTCCTCCTACTCCTCCCTCTACTTCACCTTCTACTCCACCTTCTCCTCCCTCTACTCCACCTTCTCCTCCTCCTACTCCTCCTCCTACTCCACCTTCTCCTCCTTCTACTTCTCTCTCCTCCTCCTTCTCCTCCTCTTTCTCCTCTCCTTTACTCCACCTTCTCCTCCTCCTACTCCTCCCTCTACTTCACCTTCCACTCCTCCTATTCCTCCCTCCCACTCCACCTTCCCCTCCTCCTACTCCACCTTCTCCTCCTCCTACTCCTCCCTCCTCCTCCTACTCCTCCCTCCTCCTCTTATTCAATCCTACTCCTCCTATTCCTCCTTCTACTCCACCTTCTCCTCCCTCTACTCCACCTTCTCCTCCTCCTACTCCTCCCTCTACTTCACCTTCTACTTCTCCTACTCCTCCCTCCTACTCCACCTTCTCCTCCTCCTACTCCTCTCTCTACTCCACCTTGTCCCCTACCTGACAACATTATATTTTGAAAAAAAAAAAAAGTTGCTCTGGCCCCTCTTCCGCCACTTCCCAGGGGGGAATACCACACTAACAAAAAAAAAACAAAAAACAAAAAAAAAATTATTATTCAGACTGTTTTGGGCACTCTCAAGGAAATAGTGCGGTCCTGACCCAGATTCCCATGGAAATAAGACACCTGTATCATCACTGGGAGGTGGCTGCACCTCATGTTTTCTAAACTAAGTCCCCAGAAATCTCATAAAAGGAACCTGACTCAATAAAACATGAAACACTAAAAATCGATATCAGCTCTCTACAGAGGGGGGGGGGGCAGCAAGAGAACTGTAAATGGAAAGACAAATACCCTCAATCTCACACAGAAATAGGTGAGGATATCTCTTCTACTACTCCTCATGGTTGCTTTGAACAGATGAAAGAAGAAATAAGACACCTCTCAACAAGGCATGCAGTAGCTTTGCCAGATCCTGACTCCACTCTGTTTGCGGATGAAGAGGAAAGGTACCATACTGGATTTGCTGTTGCTACAGAAGATCAGGTACGTCAAGCATCTTTACTTTCCTCACCCACATCTGCTCAAGACACCAAATTGACAGCCTTCTCAGTGGCATGCAAATTGTTTGTTTCTGAAAGACAAGGCCATGCAACAGGAGTGCTCACTCAGGCCCATGGTCCTGGAGGCCGCCAAGGGCCTATTGGATTTTTCTCCTGCCAACTGGATATTGTGGCCAGAGGACGTCCCTCTTGCCTTCGGGCCGTCTTTGCTGCCAAAGAGCTCATTGAAAGAACTGGAGATCTTGTCCTTGGCCACCCCCTGGTTGTCTTGGCCCCTCATGACATTTCTGCCATAGTCAACCAGGTCCAACTTAAGCATGTTACTCCTGCTAGGCATCTTCGCCTTCAATGTCATCTTTTGTTGCCTGACAACATTACCCTTCAAAGATGTCAAGTTCTCAATCCGTCCACTCTTCTGCCACTCCCTGAGGGGGGTGTATACTACGGATTCATCATGGACGAAACTTATGTTTTTCTTCTCACTGGCACCATCAAGAAGGAAATGCATCCCAACCTATCCTTTCATGATGGACAAGCACTCCTTCATGAAGGAGCAGGATATGCCTTCTGTACCATGTGGTACAAATCAAACATCACTCCTGAAACCTGCTATGAAGATGAACTCTATCATCTGGTCGAAGTAAAACTCACTGCACAAGACTTCTACTGTGATTCTGAAGGCAACAGTATGGTCTTGATTCATCTACCTCCGGAACTCAAGCATTTGTACCGTCATTGGGACACTGCCATTCCACATGTCCCTGTGACCAAGTTGAAAACAATATCATGGAATGATCTTGGGCCTATGGCAAAAGCATGGGCCACTATGGACGAATCACAGCTACAGGAAAATGGTGTTGTCAAATATCCAACAACTGACCACCTAAAAGCATGGCAGCGTCATTTCCTGGAGAATGAGTTCCAAGATTTAACCATAGTGAATGACTATGACCCAGATACACCTCATGACTGTTTTGAACAGATGAAAATGGAAACAACACATCTACCAACTGTGCATGAAGACCCATTGGTAGATCCCGATCTCACCCTGTTTGTGGACGGCTCAAGATATGCTGATGAAGAAGGAAGATACCATACAGGATATGCCGTAACCACAACAGATGAAATTGTCAAATCATCATCTTTACCATCAACTATGTCTGCACAAGAAGCTGAATTGCAAGCCCTGACTTCAGCATGCAAGATCTCTGAAGGAAAGCGCGCCAATATCTACACGGATTCAAGATATGCACTGGGCGTGGCTCACGACTTCGGATTAATTTGGAAAACAAGAGGATTTCTTACCACCGCCGGTACACCAATCAAGCACGGTTCCGCAATCAAGGAGCTGATGGACGCCCTCCTACTCCCAGAAGAAGTGGCTATTTTGAAGATAAAAGCACATGGGAAGTTGGACTCAGATGAAGCAAGGGGCAACCATCTAGCTGATCAGGCTGCAAAACAAGCTGCAAAAGAACCACAGGAAGTGGAAAGAAGAGTGTCCGGAAATGAAGAAACTCCCATATTTACTCTGCAGACTCTTCCAACTGACCTAAAAATCCTGCGGGAACAACAGGCTACAGTTGCCCCTGAAGAAATACAGAAGTGGAAACAGAAAGGGGCAGTTCTGAAGGATGGAGTGTACTCCAACAACCTCAAGTTCTGCCTCCCTAAGAATTTGTACCCAGCAGTCGTACAATGGGCACACGGACCTGCACATTTATCAAAGGATCTAATGAATGCTCTTGTACAAAAATACTACCTCATTGTCCCTATATGAGATTCTATTTTGGACTGCACCTAGGCTAGGTTGCTATTTTCCCCAACAACTACAACTTCAAACTGATGTCTTAGTAGATTATGTAACTGAACTCGCAAACGCCTTAAACAAAATCCATGCCCAAGTTTTCTCTTCAATTCCAGATCCTGATTCTGACACAGGCAACCACAGTCTGCTCCCCGGTGACTGGGTTCTGGTCAAGAAATTTGTGCGAAAACACACCCTGGAACCAAGATTTGATGGACCGTTCCAAGTTCTCCTGATCTCCCCTACCTCTGTCAAATTGGCCGGAAGGCCTAACTGGATCCACGCTTCCCATTGCAAGAAGACACCTGCCCCAGAGGAAGCTAACTCTATGCAACCATGTGCCTCTGGTACATTATCTCCTTAGTTGGCCTCCTTAAAGCCCAGCAGGTGGCCATCACCAAAGATGCTAGTGGGTACACCTTCTGGTATAATTCATCATGTACCCGTGTGGCTACTTATACTTTTGACTACTGTGACATCGTAGAATGCCCATTCCCCACGTCACAGATTCAGAATATCTATAGAGATATCCCTCATTCAAAAGACCCCTATGTTTGTGTAGTTGACAAACAATGGGGGCACAACTGTAACCATTGGGGGGCGGCGGGATGGAATGCCGGGCCTGCCTGGGGTTACAAACCAAAAAGTGCCTTATCTAAAATTGATGATCACGGTAGGTCCCTCCTCCAGAGAATGACTCTAAGAAAGCCCGGAGGAGGCATACCTATGAAATTAATCTTAAACATTGAGCATCCCAGCCCAACGGATGCAGACCAGTATGTAATGGGAATGTACTGGAAGAAGGGTTCCTATAATAAATTAGGACATTTCCACCTTAAAGATATGTGCCACTCTCCTGAGTGGAAAGGGACCACCCACATGGTCTCAAATCCGTTGAAACCACACATCCAATCTTTTAAAGACATGATGGCCATTGCAAATCCAACATTTGAAGATACCATGGCCGCTGAAACAGGTTTCAATGATGTTAATCTATGGTTAGAATGGATGAAATATAATACCAACAAACATAACAGAACCGCATGCTATGTGTGTGGTGGTGCCCGGCCGCACCTGGGCACTGTGCCTTCAACTTTGCCAGTAGATATAGAAGAATGTGTTCTGAGTCTTTTTGCCTATCACTACAATTTCAATAGGTCCATATGTAAAGCATGGACAGTAGAGTATCCTCTTCTAGTCAAAGATTGCAAACCCCCAGATGGTGTTACCGTCTATAAAGGTAATTATACCTGTTATGCTAATTATGATGGAATTGGTAAATTTGTGGGTAACTTCTCTAAAGGTTATTGTGCCACCTACAGAACTGTCTCTATGAACCTCCTACAATTCCACACTAGATCATTGGGGGATATTTACTGGTTGTGTGGGGATCTACAGCTGAGATCAAGAATGGATAAAGAATGGTGGGGGGAGTGTACTCTGGCTAAAGCAATCATGCCCATACATATTATCTCTGACACACACCCTGATACTCATGAGTCCAAACACTCACCAACCAAGGTAAAGCGTGAAGCCCCAGTAAAAGGCAGTTTTGACCCTCATATTTACATTGATGCCATTGGGGTACCTAGGGGGGTGCCCAATGAGTTTAAAGCCAGGGATGAAGTTGCTGCAGGATTTGAATCACTTTTTACCATAGTCACTGCAAACAAGAATTTAAATTGGATAAATTACATCTACTACAACCAACAACGGTTTGTTAATTACACCAGGGATGCCCTTCAGGGTTTGGCCGAACAGTTGCAGGCTACGTCCCAAATGTCATTCCAAAATAGAATGGCTTTAGATATGATTCTAGCAGAAAAAGGAGGGGTATGTAAAATTCTGCCTGACACCATGACATGTTGTACTTACATCCCAGAAAACACAGGCCCCAATGGTAAAGTAACCTTAGCTATAGGAAAATTGAAAGAGCTCTCTGAGGAGCTAAAGAGGAACTCTGGGATAAAAGATCCCTGGGAGAGATGGTTTGGTTGGATGACAGGATGGCAAAAAGCTTTGATGCATATTGGTATAGCAATACTAATTTTCCTTTTTATCTTTGCTCTTCTCGTTTGTTGTGTCCTCCCTTGTCTGAGAAAGCTCCTCTTGAAGACTGTAGACCAAGCGGCACCCACTTACGCACACCTCACAGTTGATGACCAAGATTTCCAAAAAGTCAACTCGCCCTGTATACCGCTACAATCTATCCCGTTTATTGATAAAGTGCAAGAGTTCTAGGAAGGGACCAGCTTAGGGACAGCATCTGTCTGTCTGGGAAGTCTACCGTGCGGAGATGTGGTGGGTTAGCCACCTCGGGATACCCATGGAGTGAAGTGTTCGAGTGCCCAGCGGACAGATGAGTTAGCCAATTAGGGACAGACGAAGGGACAGCTTTGCACTTTGCAATAACACCTAGCTAGCGGGTCACGGGGTTTCTGTGCCTTTGGGCTAACACGTCTTCTGATACTAACAAATAAAGATTATCTTTTAGAATCTAACATTTCATAGGGGGGACTGATGTAGAATTATTAAAATCTTTATTAGAACCTGTATTGAATTATTGTACTAACTCCATTTTGTTCACCTTACATGACAGAATTTCCTGACAGTATTCAGTATAATGAATAAGAGATTGTATTCTCTCTCTCTAAGGACATAACTAGCCCCGGAGTTAGCGGATCTCCGTTGACTTGCAACATAGTATAATCCAAGGCCAGGAGAACAGTGACAAAATGAAATGTTCTATTCATAAAAGAACCTTGGAACAGACCACGAGACTGACATCACTAACTACGTAAAATGACGCCCAAGCCCCCCTTTCCACCGAGTAAGCCTCGTGCTAAAGAGCAATGGCGACGACATCCCATGATGGGAGGGTGCCTCACTAGTCACTCAAATCTCTGAGCCAATTAATAATATTAATGGGTGGACACTGACATAGCCACTTAACATTTAACCCAATTAATGATGTTTATTTGTTATT